GCAGGGCCAACCCGGCGGGGCTACGTGTCACCCTACAGAGGGGAAAGCGAAGCTGGGGGCAGCAGCACTCACCACCACCACTCTGGTTTCCAGCAGGCAAAGCAGGCAGGGCTGCTGAGGTCGTTTTGCTCCTTGCAACAGCCGCCTGTTTGCCCTGGGAGCTGCTTGCTGCTTTGCCTGCACGCCCAACGAGCCTCAGCTCAGCATCAACATGTGCCCAGCACCTCAAGACCCAAAGCACCCAAAGAAGAATGGAGTCCAAGCTGAGGCCATTCAGCCTGTCAGTGGCAAGAGGAGAGGAGCACGTCCCACCCCCATCTTGATGGGACTTAGGCAAACTCCTCTGGATGAAGCCCCAGCCCCTCTGCATCAGTCCTGCTGGGAGGTCTGAGAGCTCTTTTAAGCTGAAAGAGGGTAGATTCAGATTGGACATAAGGAAGTTTTTTATGATGAGGGTGGTGAGGCACTGGCACAACTGGCCCAGAGCAGCTGTGTCTGCCCCATCTCTGGAAGTGTTCAAGGCCAGGTTGGACGGAACTTTGAGCAACCTGACCTGGTGCAAGATGTCCCTGCCCATGGCAGGGGGGTGGGACGAGACGGCCTTTGAAGGTCCCTCCCGACCCAAACCAGTCTGTGATTCTATGAGTATATGGTTTAAACATCATGTTTGCCTTCTGCTGTGCTCTGGCAGCAGGAGGGCATTTCCCCCATGGGTCCACCTAAACTCCTACCCATCAGTACCAACACACTCAGCTAATGGGTAGGGCTGGCAGCAGTAGGAGGCAGAAAAATCCTGGATGGAGAGTAAGAAAGACGACTCCTTGCCAAAGAAATTATCTGAAGCAGGCGGTTCCAGCTCGGAGGAACTCAATTTATATTCCCAAACGATGTGCCGGGAGCTGCTCACAGCTCCATCGACAAGCACAATGCAGGCGAGGCAGATGTTTTGGCGAGTGCCAGCAGCTGGAATAGGATCGCTGGCTCAGCTCGGCTGCACCCATGGCTTTCATCCCAAGGGAGCCTGGATCAGGTGGCTGCAGGTCTGGCTGGCAGGATCGCACAGCCCTTTCTGAAATAAAGAGGGATAGTGGTGCGCGAAGCAAGACTGCTGGATTATTTATTTATAGGGTCAAGCCTTGGAAAGGATCTCAGCACAGAAAAGCACAGCTTGTATGGGCTGTGTGTGGGGCCTAAGCAGCCCCGCGATGGTGAGAACGTGGTCTTGCTGGTGCCATCCCACATTGCAGAAGCGACTTTCCCCAGGGCATGTCCCTGCCAAAGCTTTTTAGCATAGGGGAAAGGCAAATTTTTGGGGATGCCCAGGCTCAGCGTGGTGGGATGTGGCTTGGGGAAACGAAGCCCTGTGAAGGGTGAAGGACACAAGGACTGTGCTAGTGGGCAAGGCAAGGCACGAGGCTTGCCCACCGAAGCAGACACCATTGCCAGGGGTGAGCTTTCAGCGCCGGAGGAGGAAGGAGGGGGCTCCTGTGTAGGCTGGGTGCGCTTGTTTTATTTATCCACGTGGTGACCAAGTGGCCAGTAATGATGAGCAGCTCTGCAGCGTCTGCTGCCCCAGCCTGGCAGAATGTTCCCCAGGTGTGACATGGCGAGGATGTCAACAGGTCAGGACAGCAAAGGCAGGGGTGGGAATACCCAATCTGATGTAGTTTTGGAGAGATGTGGGTAAGGCCCAGGAGGGGTCAGCAGA